TGAGCATTAAAAAATACATTAATGAAAGTACTTCCCATCACTTGTAAAACGCTACGAATTAATTCCAACACCTAATATTATTAATAAGTAATTATAAAAAAAACTTACGTAAATTTAAATCAAAATATAAGTGTTAACTTCAAATATAATTGTCAAATTAAGTGTATATACCTTAACTATACCATAGAAATTAATAATATACTCAATTGTTTATGAATTTTTTTATTGTTGAAAGTAATTTTTCATTTCAAATTAATGCTATGACGTTGCACTTTCGCTCTAATTTTAATTATAGCCTAGATCTGTTCGCGTTGCTTGCATTGTTTGCACTGAGCATCTTCGCTTTCTCTTTCTTCAACGTCTAAATATATATTATTCATAAGTATAAAAATTTTTAGAGGTTTCAAGCAACAGATCTCATGACTGCCACTATTTAATAGATTTATTTATTATTTTTCTATAATCTACAGAAAAGCTGTTTTTACAGAATCAATATTCGTCTTTAACATGGTTATTATATTAAATAATTAAAAAAAAAACCTTGTAGAGGATACTTTGATAAAGCAATCAGAATGTGTTATTAATGACACAATATATTATTTTACAATAATTAATTTTGTTAGTGTATCGTATAAAGCTATGTATGTGTATTTTCTACTGTTAAAAACATACTTATCCTTAGATGTTATTTCTCTGGTCGAGGGAATCACCTCCAGATCCAAGAGCCAGTCCATGGTTTGCCTGGTTTGCGACGGCTGTTCTATTGTGGCGTTGTAGGCGTCGGATTACCAAAGCGATTTTGGCTATTTCACCTTTGAGATTGTTAAAGAGACGTGCTACTGGTTTAGCTATCAATCAGAAGACAATTCTGAAACAACAAAAGAGACACAGCCTTGCCCAGCTACACAAGCATAAAACTGTCGGCATACGGCGAGCGAAGCGATTGTGCACTGGCGACGGTCCGCATATGTCAGATAATATGTCCATGATATCACAGATCCACTACAGAGTCACCAGGAGTGGTAGAATCTACGGGAAATACCCGAACAAGACCGCCATCCCAAATGGCATTCAAGAAAGCCATTGATATCGCGCTAAAATTATTAAACACTCAGCTACTGTTTTTGTCTCTGTATAAATCTTGTAATTATTGTCATTGTATTGTCAACATAATTTTACTTTGAAAAAGAAACAATTTTTCAAATATATAATATATACTTACATTCTTTTTCTTGACATAAATTTCTTTTATAAAAAGTGCTTTCTTTTTTAATATTGTCTAATACAAGAGAGTTTATAATTGTACATTATGACATTATGACAATTTTTCGCGCTTTTTATAATTGAATAATTTTGGCAGAATTGTTTTACATGTGTCTATAGAATTTGCAAGCAATGTCAAAATATCTTTAATTTGACTTTGCTGTTTTTGTTATTACATATAATGTAACGCAGAAATTATATAACGTAAATATGTGTTTTGCACGAAATCAAATAATTGCAGATTTATTCCAATCAATATTCATGAAGTATTTTTCTCGTTTGAAGAAATATCCATAAAAAAAGTTTATTTTATCTGTTTTTGTGTCCTTGACATAATTTGGAAACAAAGTTCAAAACCTTGGAAAGAGGTCATCATGCCACTTAGCGATGCCCTTAGAGGGCATCATGCCATGGATTTCTGGCTGCGTTCATCTCTTTATCGACCAAGCACAAATCAATAAAAGTTGACTGCGTTTTAGGACACCTAGTGCGTTTATATAGAATACCCTAGCTTTTTCAGATACTTTCTTGGATATTTTAATCAGCCTAGGAACATTTTTTTCTTAACATTTCAAGAAAGTAATAGTTTGAAATTTCTAGCCTTAATTAAAATTTTATCAATTTTAAATAAATTAATATTTTTGCATCGACATTTATTTATTTTATCTTTATTTTTAGAAAAAGAAATATTGCGTGTCTAGCATAAAAATATAATTTAAACATTAACAAAAAAGTATAAACAAAATTTAACAATTACTTAAAAACACTTCTTGTTTACACTGTCATTTAACTTAAATCTAAATTTCTTTTAAAAAGAAAAAGTGGCTTTCGTCTGATGAATGATGAACGTCTAGAAATCGTCTAGAACGTCTTTCCTTAAGCTGTCGCGCGAGTGGTGTATCGCGGAAAAGCACTCGTTGGCACAGCCTAAGTAACAATGTAATGCTGCAGAACTTTCGTATCAGAGATGTGCCAATTTAAGCGGCACAATGCCCGCGGTTTCAGAATGAGCAAACGTATGGAACGTGTGCATCGTCGAGCAGAATGGTACGTAACTATGCCAAATTTAATCATTCAGTAGCTAGGCTACTGACATCGAGGCTGTACTCATTGCACTTGTTGTTCGAGATTTTCAACAGGATATTTGTAACACAAATCAATTATTTTAAATTTCTTCAGATATACTAAAAATATATTATATTATTTTCTCTAGTTCTGGTTTTCTAAATTTTAAATAAATATAAAAAAAATGTTATGTATTAATTAATATAATATATAGGATGTCCCAATAACTATTAGCACCTGAAATATCTTCGAATACTTTGTATATGTATAAAAATAATTGTAAAAATACATTTATCAATATGTTATAAATTTATCAAAGAAAAATTCTTAATAGCTAAAAATTCTTAATAAATAATGTTGTATTACTTTGTTAAAAACTTTCTATTATATTGTTTTTTCTTTACGTTTTATAGTATTATACTGCGGTATTACCGCCTTACAATATTAAAATAAATAATATGAGTGCAATGGCTATCTTATAAGGGAACCATCAAAGCCGTCCCTCACTGATTTTGGTAGGTTTTAAGTATATTGTAAAACATCAAAAACATCAAACATTAACCAATATCTTTTTTATCAGGGGTATCTCAAGGGATTGAAACATCACCTTGAAAAAAAATGGATTTTATTGTTTTCAGCAAATATCTTTGCGAAACTGTGCGATATAAAAAAATGTTTTATATAAAAGATTTATAATATTTTGTGCTCTATACATATAAATATATAATGATATATTCCATATTGCTTATTATTTCAGTATTAGTCTATATTGTGATTTTTTAGAATGAAAACAAAATTATCTTGTCATCTTGAAAAATATAATCATTCCATCATATTGTGCAAAATGTTTTTCTGCAAAATGATTATTTTTGCAAAATGTTAACTTTATTATTACACAAAAAACATATTTCATATGTATTTATATAATTATATAAAAATGATGAGGGATTACTCCGATGGTTCCCTTGTTATCTCGATAATACACATAAAAAGAATATTATTATGTTTTCGAGACTCTTATTATTATTATATTGTCAGTAATGAATTAATCAATAATAACAGAAATACATATAAAGCATATAGCGAACTATTTTTACTTCATCAAAAGTAATTTATATTTATTACAAATTAACAATTCAAATTGTATACCAAAAAGAAAGGAATTGGAGAAAGGAAATTTTGCGAAAAAAACAACATTAACATGCGGAATTAATTCTAATTTTCTTATTTTTAAATAACTATTGCGACATCAAATAAAATTCTAATGAAATGTCTGAAAACCTAATTTAAATTTCTATTTGATATAATTAATAGTGTACGACGTAGTCATCTCATGAGAACGGCCAGCGATTTTCTAGCTTTAATCAAACGAGTACGAATAAATTACGAGGAGACTTCATCAACATGTTTAATGATAGCTGATAGAAGGGACTAACTGGTCTTGAATAAACAAATATTCAAATAAGATTATCAACACTTTGTTTATTTGAAAATAAAATTGTAATTTTATAATAAATTTTAAAGATTTTATTAAAAATAATCTTATTAAATAATTGCAGAAATTATTTAAAATATTTTATTACTTATTATTGTAGTCATTTTGCAAATTAATATAGATTTAGAAATACATTTTTCTTTGCTTAGAGTGCTTAGACTGATCAATTCAATTTAATTTTTTAATTATAGCTGTATAGTAACAATTATAATATATGTATACTAACAAAAAATATAGATCACTGTCTCGACACAGTGACCTATATTTTTTGCGGATAAATGTACATAATTACAGCATTTTATAACTTACATAAGATAAAATTCAATATAATATCCGAAATTAATAAAAGTAAATTAATAAAAAGTAAATTATATATTTTTTGTCATGAAGTAAAATAAAGTAAGATTTAATTAGGTTAATGTTCTAAATAATAATTCCAACAAATATTATTTAAACAAGTACAGATAGGGAATTTAATTAACTATAGTGAGTCTCACCGATCTAAGTGACCAATTGTAACTTATCGATTCCCTGTTTATTTCTATATCATTCTACTTGAAAAGACATGGAAATTACTTGGATTTTTTATTGACATTACACTACTTTGATCAGTTAATACTATAAAACAAATTGTTTAATAATGACATATATTACATAATTTGGATAATTTGTATGTTCAAGTTTTCCATTACAATTCTATTAATAACAATTAAGATTCTTAGGGCAATACATAGAAAGATATATTAATATAAGTCTGAGACATTTTGTACTACAATTTAATTTCAGAAATTTATAATAATAAGTATTTTATAAATCTTTAAAATGCAATAGAGTGGAGTCAAGGTGGTGAACCGAAAATCGATAAAAAAAGTATTATGAGACATTTAGTCGAGAACAGAGAATATCAATCCAATGATCACCAACTTTTTCCGCTCAACGCGTTTGACAACCCTGAAATCGTCGTATTCTTGCAACAGCGAGAGTGCGAGCAGATTCGCTGTGGCCTGTGACGACTCACGACGATGTTCGCGCGGGGCATTGCGACGGCAGGGTCGCAGCCTCGAATGCGCCACGAAAATGCCCGGGTGGGAAAGGGTGGATTGGGGGCGGCGCGCAAGCGTCGTCGTTGTCGTATCGACGCTTCGACGCCCGGGCCGAGGGAAAGAAACGGATTTCTCTGTCAGTAGTGGTAGAAGCCCCGGTTGGGGTCGAGTGAGAGTGCGAATATAAGCGCGTGTTCATAGCAGTGTGCTTTCGCGAATGTCTCTCGAGTGCATCTCTCAATAGAGCGAGAAAAATATATAAGACCTTAAAACGCCGTCACATAGAAAAATAACAACGACGAAGACGACGACAGATGTAGAGGACGCATTATCAGCGTCTTGATTGTCTTGATCGCTTTCGATTTGGCCGGGTTTGCAGAGAAAAGTGGCGCGAGAGGGTGGACGGGAGTATAGGAGACTGTGAGAGAGGCACCGGCAAGAGCTACTGGTGCACACAATCAGGATGCGACTGAGGAGGTACGTGTGATGTCGGTCGAATGTGATCAATGAGTAGCATAGATGCAGTAGACAGAATGCCCGACATCCGGGATACTGCTCTGGACCACGATGTTATCTTTGTTTTACTCGATTATATTAGGATTTCGAGATATTATAATTTGTGAGTATTGCGTTGCTTCAGTCTATTATTTTTTTATATAAATTCTCTAATCGCCATACGATAGCTTCCAATGGATGATTGGAATGAATGATTTGGAAATTGCAAATCGAAAAAGCAGGGAAATGGGGAATTTTAATTTGGTCTCTATGTCTGATATCTTCCAACAATCGAATTCTTCGTTTCCAGTCAAGAGAAACCTTGCGCAATAATATACGCAGTCAATTGAAATTATTTATTCTGTTAATGTTTCTTGAAGGGATTATCTTGGGATGTGTAAAACGAATAAAACTTTTAAAGTTTTTGATATTTTTTAGTTTTTATTTATGCTAACTCTCATATATCTTTCTCTGTTATTTCTATCTCTTGCCATATAAGTATCATATTTCTGTTTTCACTAATAATTCTGATTTATCAGTATTAACTAGCATTAAATTTGATATAATAATACAATAATGTTACGAAACTGAATAATTTTATATCAATTAAGGATTCTTAGTATTAAAAAATCAATTAAGAATTTTTAGTATTCAAAAATAAAATAGAAGCTATTGAAAGTTACTCCATTAGCTTTTATTTTATTTTTTTTTTAATATAATAATTTATTATAAACAAATTTGTGTTAATCTAAGTGTAATAATATTTCTTAGTTTAGAACAGACTAATTAAATAAAACAAATCTATGACACTTTGAGTTAACTCTTGAGTAAAATATAATATAAAATCAAAAAACTAAAATATTATGCAAAAAATTTGTTTATCCTCCTTTCTTAGTTGTTGCAAATTGCTACAAAAAGTTACTAATAAATGTACAAACAAAAGACCATTAAAATTTTATATCGCAAACTAGGCACGCGGCTGATTGCCCTGAAAATCTACAATGTGCATTGACTCGCGCGTGCTGCTGTTCGTGGATCACCTCTTATCACGACACATGCGCATGGTTGAGCAAATATTCGGTTAACTAAACAAAAGGGAGTAGCTACTCGGACATGGCTTCGGTTGTTCGTCACTGTGCATTCTGATATGAGAGCGTTCTCTCGCTCCAATGATAATTGAAGAGCCCCGCCGGGAAAAGCGTTGCTCCATGTTTTCTTTTTTGTCAGCCGCAATGAGACCATGCCGTTGATTGCCATCGGATATGAGAATAGATAAAAATAGCGGCAGTTCGAACCCGCGAGGCCGTGTTCGACTCAATCCTTCCATCCTTCGTAATCTCTCGACTATACGTTGGAAATTTAATTAAATTAAAGAATTAAACTAAACATTAAGTTAAAGTTTGATTGAATTAAGTTAACTGTAGCAGATATTCCAATCTTTATTCATCAAAAAAAATAGCTCTAAACTTTTACTAAGTTATTGTTGGATAATTTGTAGAATTTTTCAGAATTTTTAGATTATTGACTGGTTTTTTTAACTATAAGGATTTTGATTGCGAACAAAATGATAGAAAATAATGATTTTTATTTCTTTATTGGATTTTACATTATATTGCATCATTTTATATATAAAGTTTAAATCTCGAAAGAAAGTGGAACTGTTAAAATCTTTTTCAGCTTAGTGTAATGAATATTTAATGTTATGATGTTCGATAAAAAAATTAATGGATATAAAATTATATACAACGATTAGTGTCTATGATAAAATATATTGTGGATTATATCGAATAATAATGTGTAGATACAAAGATAAGATACGATTAATATAATAGAATTTAAATAATTTTGATATAACATAAATCGAAATAATTTGCAGTTTTAAAATTAATAAGTTAAGTAATAATTTCTGTTTATTGTTTTAGATATTTAATTTTTATATAGAATAATATAGTTATATTTAAATAACATTAATAACGGTGTAGTAAATATTAATTTATATATAACAAAAATTAAATTACCAACAAAAACATTACCAGGTATAATTTTATTATTATTCAGTTAAACATATAATTCATTTAACATATTCATTTAACATATAATTTTATTTTTTATTTATGTTACATGTTTAATTTAATTGCATTAAAGGTTGAATAAGAAGGTTCTTTTTGATATCTTATAATATTAATATTTCTTTATGAAAGAAAATGACGTTACGAAAAACAATTTACATCGCTTGACATTTCTCTCGCAATTTTCTGTCTTAAACAGCAAATATTACATATGTGAGTTTGTCTTCAATTATACCACGCAAGAAATAATGTAGGTAGATATGTGTATAACAGTTTTGCCATAGATTCTGTGTCCTGAAATGACCGAGTGCCCTTTTAACTGCTTTGATCGTTTAATCAATCTGAAGTCGATTTTTCCCTAGTAAAAAGGTTAAGAAAGGCCATCGTTTTATTACAAATTTTTTATTTTTATTATATTTAGAAGCTTAGTAAATAAACTTAAGATCAAAATTATGTTTAAACAAATTTTATTTAAAATTAATTATAAATTGTTTTGTAACTTCTTTTTGCTTTCCTAAAATTTTTTTATTAAAATACTTTTACTTTTAATTATAACTAAATTCAATATTGGTTTTTTCATTGTTCATTAAGTTATCATCGTTAAGAAAATACATATTAACTATGAAATGAGTAATTTTGTATGTTAAAATTCAAGAAACTATTAGCAATATCATAAAATAATTTAAAATCTAATATAAGTCCGTATCGTATTGATTGACATATTGATTAATGTGTTTAGTCGAAGTATTTCAGCTTCCGTTATTCTGTGCTATTAAATAAAAAGTTTGGATTTTATGAAAAGTGTTTTGTGGTAATAGATTAAAAATAAAATTATTTTATTAATTTATTACATATGATACTCAGAAAAGCTACTAATAAATTAATTGATTTTACAACTTTTTAAGTTTTACTTTTTAGCATTAAAGTGATTTCTACTTATTAATGAAAATTTGTCAATTAAATACGTGTAAAATATAAGGATAAAAACTATATTTGTGTTACAAATATTGAATTTGTTATTATTTTTAATATTATTAAAAATTATTCTTAGTATTCACAGTCACTAACAAATAATAATTAATATTTAAAATAAGAAGGAATTAATAAAATTTGAATTTTGTATTGTCAAAAATAAAAAAAAAGGATGTAACAATTCAAAAAGCATGTAAGTTATTCTTTTTTTTTAAACGTAAATAACTAAAATTGTAATTTTATAAGAAAAAAGATTCTAGATTATTACTTCTTTTCTAATTTTTCTATATAATTATTTTAACAAGCGTATTATTTTTGCAAATGTATCATAAAACTATGCTCCTTTGTATTATATTTTACATTATTACTTTTATGTATATATATATATATATATATATATATATATATCTACTTAAAAAGATATTGAAAAAGGTTCTAAAATTCTAAAAGCATTTTATTTTATATAGTAATTTATATAAAATAAAAAATATACATATATCCGAATTTATTGCGTATTTTATTGAATAAATATCAATCGTATTCTTAACATATTGTACTGTTTTAAACTATTATCTGAACCGTGCAACAAACAAAATTGCTTTCTCCAACATGTTTTTGCGCGATCAATATCACCGCCAGTGAATGAAAACTGCTGATGACTATTTCGCGTTCTGACAATCTCGTAGGTCAATATTTGTATTGTACCTCTTTTTATATTTGATAAAAAGGAAATGAAATAGTAAATCAGTAGCGAAATCATGTATTATCAGAAATATCGACATTAGTAACAACGAAAGATAAAGGAGACAGTTAGCGAGCGTCTTGATTTATTCAAATCGTAAACTTATTTGGGACTTCATTAAGCTGCTTTTTACGTAACAAAGGTCTCGATCGTTGCGTGTCAGCGCTTATGACGTTTTGCTTATAATTAAGCAACCATTATAAACGATAATTGCAACATATATCGATCTTCGAGTTGATTACGTCGCTTTCACGTGAATAAACGCCCATATCTTGGTTAGAGTTGTAGCTGGTTGTAGCTGGTTTTGAATTGTTGCTGGTTTTGAATTGCTGCAAGTTTGTTGAAAGGCTAATCCAATAGAAAGCACGATGTAATACCAGAGAAATGTTTCAGTTGAAGATTCGAATTTGATGTTAAGTTTATTTCTGAGATTAATGAATTATTTTCGATACTGTTCATCTTACAGAAACAATTGATTAATTAAAAAATAATTGATATTCTTATATATATTCATTGTGATAATTTTATACATTTATAAACAACATAAATATTAAAAAAAGTAAGAAAAAAAATTTTGCAAAATTATTTAATTTTGCCAAAGAAATTCTTATTATTATTTAAATAAATTTTTGATCGGCAGATAATTCAAATAATTTTCAAATATTTGTGTGCGAGAAATAAATGTTACAAATAAATTACATGTAAATATTATCAAAATATTGAATATTACCGTTATATAATATAAAACATTTAGATATAAAACAAAAGAAATAAATATCTTTATTTTATTTTGAAAATTATATTTTATCTTTAACTTTATGTAAGTTAAAATATTTATTTTCCAAATTACATTATAAATAATACATTATTAATATCCTACAAAGTTATAAAATTAATTGCATATAAGTACATATTTAACACATATTAAAAAATATTTATAAAATAACTACATAAAGCGCGATGTTCTTCCAGGAAAGTGTAGTATTAATTGTCTCAATTGTCTACATTTTTTTATATACATGCAATTATATATTGCTTTTGCTTCATGTCGTCAATGGTGTCACGTGACAATGTGTCATCCTGTCATACAATGTGAAAGTTCCACTTTAATTTAGGAAACATAACAGACAGTACGATGCTACATAATACACCCCTCCATTCAAGATCGACTCAGCTAAATTATGAATGGCGGTCGATACTAAGGGAAGGAAACTATCGTGCGGGTGTTTCCACAAGAGAAGAATTACGTGGCTTTTGCGGGAAAATAAAAAGGAAGAAAAGTCTTCGACGGTGGCGTGTATTATCGACACGAACGATCCAGAAACTTATCCAATACACTCATTCTGTACGTTATCCAACTGATCTATCCTTCGGAATGCAATTTTCCTATGTAACTTCCCTCCTCCACGTCCGTTCTTCACCTCTAAAACCAAACTGGACTGACACACTGACCTCAAACTTGAAAATGAACGGCACGCGTGACAGTCTTAATTTAGAACTTTTCATTATTCATTATACAAACAGTATTTGCCTAAAGATAAGTTAATTTCTTTTTTGCATAATTATTAAATTATTTCTTTTACTTTTTCAATGACAGAATTAAATATTTATTAATAATATTTATTCAAATAACAAAATTCAAAATATCCATTAATAATATTATATAATATTATATTAAAAATTGGATTATGTTAATCTAAGAAGTTTTAAAAAAATCTTGATGATTATATTTGAACTAATATATCACAGATGATATATTAGTTCAAATATAACTAAATAATATTCAGTAATTTTATATTCTAGATACTTTTTTATATTCTAGATACTTTTCTTAAAATAAACTATTTACTCGACTACATTTTTATAAGTGTATAATATAATTTTCATTATTTCTGCGTTTTTAAAGGTTTACCACGTTTTGAGTTCCTACAATTAATTAATATATCGCAACGTTGATGAAAAAATGAACATCTCAAAATTAATAATTTTTCAGCAAAACATTTTTTTAATTTTGATTCGCAATGACGTTTTAATTAAGATAATGATTATTGTCTTAATGCCGAGACACTATTGTCTTCAGATGTCAGAATAATTTATTTTCTTTCGATATTATTATAGAAAAAATACATTATATAATTATAAGACTATAAAAAAGAAAGAGAATACATTATATCATTAAGACTTTATAGTCTTAATTATATAATGTATTCTTTCAAACTATGTCACGACTCCAGAAGTTTTTAAAATTTGATGCATCTATTACGTTTAATACACTAAATCTAATTTATGTATTTTGTGTCCATTGGGTATAAATCTCGCTCACTAAAAATGCCGTATATCGATCCAAACAGATCAGATACAAAATATCAAGTTAAATAAAGAATATGCTAAATACTTGTTTTTAGCATATTTTAGTTATTTCATTGTTTACTATCCCTTATGTTATCACCAAATAACCATTAAGCCTTTGTATTCCCTACAGTAATGAATTTATGTAAATGATGATATATGGTTGCGCTATTTACTATATTGATAAATGATTTGACTAACAGTGGTTTTATTAACAGTAAAAAACTGAAATCATAACACAATACTAATAAAAGGATGTAACAGAGTAATTGCAAATTATCACTCTTTCTGTTTTTTTCTGACTTTTGTAATAAATTCTATTCTACAACGTGTCTTGGTTTCTTATTTCTTACTTTTTATCTTTTGCCTTTTTGCACACTGTTTTACCGACATTTATATTTCTTATCACGTGTTTCTTGTCTTTTTAGAATTTCAACTTTTATCTCGGGCGACAGAAAATAACAAACGTCGCGTTAAATACGCTAACAATTTAGATTAGATTAGATTGAAGAGATTAGTTCATTCTATTTAGCGATAAACATGATGCAAAAACACTATATATATATCTTTACAATAATAACAATAACAAGAATGTTAACATGAATGAATTAGCATAAGAATAGACTTTGACTGTTGGTCTATAATTGTGATCTATATGAAATAATGTTTTTTTCGGTAATTCAGAAATGACAAATTGTATATGATGTTTCTCGATTCCATGCGACAAAAATACAAGAAGCAAAAAACAAAAGGCAGAAAATATGAAAAAAAACGCAAAAAACATATTGGAATACACAGTTTCTGATAAATTGAAATTCTTATTCTCTGTTCCTATTCCTATTCTCTATTCTTATTTCTTGATTGTATGCAGTTCCTTACATCGTCATATGTACAGAATGTTCTGCAATGTCCTTTAAGTAATGCCAGCAATAACTTTCAAGTTTCATTACTCGAAAATTACTGATAAGAAACATACTTTATTTTAGAACTCGCGACTTCATTTACAAAAATATGTAAAAAAAATAGGAATTTCCAATTATTTCCAAAGATTTTTACGTTAACCTAGACTGGGCTTTTCAAAATCATTCAAATAAATAAATATTACCTACTAGATTTTTAAGTCCTATAATTTTTTAATGAAATATTTTTTTGAGAAATATTTATTTATAAAGATATTTAAGGATTCAGAATTTTTTTTACACCTTAAACATTGTTTAAAGAACGATACATTGGAAGCAGTCATTTGGATCATCACATTTTGCTTGAAACTCAGCATACTTTTATACTTTTGTTGAAAATCATAACGATTGCTGAGTAAACATTGAGACGTTGAGTACGTAAATACCGAAATCACTCCATATAATGTAAATTCTATTAATTATTATAAAATTATAACATTATATTGTATATAAGTAAATAAACTATAAACGTGTTTTTCTCTCCTCAAAAATGTATTAGTTTTTAGGAGAGAGAAACAGAGAGAGAGCAATTTCTTTTCAAAATTTCTTTTATTTAAAAAAATGCTAATTTTTTACTTGTGTTAACGCAACAGTATATTGTTAGATTATTGTATTAATTTCTTTATTATACCTTATTTTACCTTTATTATACCTATATTCTTTATTATATAATATTTACGTACGTATAATAAATTAGTTGTTTTATTTAAAAAACCTATTTCTGCAAAAATATATTTATTTTAATCACTAATATAGAATAAATAAAAAATATGCACAAGATAATCGCAACAAATTGCGCATATAGATTAAAATTCTTTCGATTTTACAGTGATACAGTTACATCGATTGTATATCAAGATCCTCGAAGACCTAACAGTATCGAGGACTCATTTGCCTAAGAACTTTAAACATTCCTTTCTAAGAGTGCGGAGTAGCCTTAGAAACGAAGAAAACAAACGTGCAATAGCTGAAAGTGCAAGCTACCTAGGAAGGTCCAGTACCTGACAGCGGAAAGATCGCGAAAAGGGTGAAGGGTACAAGCATTTAAGGGTGGGTGGGGGGGATGCAGCTCGAAAAGGCGGCGGTATGGAGGAGCACTCGTTGGAGGCTCTCATGCAGGCGGGCCTTATTTTCGTGGTCGCCGTCGCCATCATCATTTCGAATCTTCTCATTATCGTCACCTACCTCAACTTCCGCGGTAAGTCAAAATTTTTTGCCTTCGCAAATATTGCACATTTAAAAATTATATTTATGTCGATTTTAGTTGTCACTTAATTAAACGCATTCAATATTTCAGCGTATACTTCTCTTTTTGCACGTATATACACTTTTTTTTGAAAGTCATAAGCAGTATAACTTCATTATTAATAGAATGAACTATTGACTTAGTTCATTCTGACATCAAATAATATTGTACATTTTCGAAGATTTGACAATTTTGCTATTTTGTCATTCTTATGTTTCCTCTATATATTCTTATCACAATTTTGATTTACGATGTGAATTTCAACATTTTGTTAACGATAAATCCTTAAAAATATCAAATTCTTAACATATATTTATTTTTAAAGTAAACATTCTTTTAACTTAAAAATATATTATTTTGTTAATTTTAATATAAAAATTTACATTTAATATAAGAATTTATACAAATTACAGAAAAAATTAATTTAAAAAATTATATATGTGTATTACTATACTTTGGATGTTTGATAATATTTAAATAAAAAAATATTTTCAGACTTTCAGAATCAAATTTTAGACTTCCAGAATTACGGAATTTAATCTTCCATCTTTAAAAATTCTAGAAATCTTAGAATTAATTAGTTGCTAATTTCTAATATAATTTATATCAATAAAAAAAGAAATAATGAATGAATAGATGATAATAATCACGTATATCATATTAAGAATATTTTATTTTTACAGGTCCCTCCGAGGTGATAAACTACTATTTACTATCACTCGCCTCGGCAGATCTTCTGTGTGGTGTGTTAGTGGTACCGCTCTCAGTGTATCCAGCATTGGTTCGAAGATGGGTCTACGGAGATATCGTGTGCCGACTCGTCGGTTACTTGGAAGTCACGCTTTGGGCGGTATCAGTATATACCTTCATGTGGATCTCCGTGGATCGTTATCTGGCCATCAGGTATTTCACTTATGTATATTATACCGAGATATATTATTAATTATATATGACAAATGTATTATAATTATACCATATATCTCTTGACTATAGCAATACATAGCTATTATATTAACATATTGTTTATACAGATCTTATTATATTTTTTATTTTATTTTTTTGCTACATATTATGTATATGTACTTTTATATTATAGATATTTCGTATATTATTACTTTTAATTGTAACAGTCTGATAAAATATCATAGCTGAAATTTGGCTTTTGCAAACTCTTTTTACAGGCGACTTTATAATAATATATGAGTTTCTAATTTGTGACTTTTGCAGAAAACCACTCAGATACGAGACAGTACAGACAAAAACCCGATGTCAATGCTGGATGGTCTTCACATGGATCAGCGTGGCGATGATGTGCTGCCCGCCCTTACTCGGTTTCAACAAACCGATTTTCGACCGCGAGGCCTTCATCTGTATGCTCGATTGGGGCAATATGGCCGCATATACCATCACGTTGTCCATCCTCGTGTTGGGACCGTCAGTCATCACCATCGTCTATACATACTTCTACATATTCTCCATGATGAGGCGATTGAAGTCCGGCGTTCTAATCCACGACAAGGAGTATGCTACTGCGTTATCGGAAAATCTGAGCAACCCGAGTCACATCATGTCTTTTGTCCTAGTAATGGCTTTCTGGATATCATGGGCACCATATGCCGGATTAAGGATATACGCAGTCGTTAACGGACCTCCTCAGGTAATATTTCTTATAATCTACTGAATTAATATTTGGAAAAATAATTTAATATGAATTTACAATATGTTAATATTGTATTATAAATAAATTTAGTTAATGTGCGTTAAGATCATACATATATTATTCATAATTAACTACATATTTCTACTCTATTCTAATATACGAATAACTGATTAACTTTAATAGTATTAAATAATACTTTTATAAGTAAATACAATATATTACAAAAAGTAATAAATTCAGAATGAGAAAATCAAAGTTATCTATAATGTAATATTAAGTACAATTTAAATTTAAATCGAAAATAATATCTAGATCTCTATGTTTGATTGATTTCTTCCAAAAATTATATAGTTACAAAATTAATTGATTAATAGTTACTTTCAATTTTAATGTAAAAAATAACACAATTTATAACTGTTTTTATTTTGCTAATGGGGTAGTACATTTTTGTTGTGATTGTTAAAATTACTTTTCTGAAAACTTCAGTATTAGGACGACTGTAATGACACTCGCTTGACATTGATATGATTTAAAAATAACTTTGAACTTTGTGAAAAGAGGCATTGAAAATGAGACGATTAAAAATGTAGGTCGGTACGTTGTAAAGCAAAGTAGGTTAATAGAGAATGCTTGCTAGTAAACGTAAGAAGTTTGCATGCAAGGACATACTTCGTGTGACACTTCTATAGAAGAGAGAAGATATAGAAATACTTCTCTCTTATTTATCTGTACACGACATTTTCTATAATATATTTAAAATAAACTTTATTTCTTTTTTGTTTAAGTTTTTATTAATAGAAATCAGTTATTTGCATTAAAGAGAATTTCCACTTGCGCTTTTCTGCTTATAAGTATATAATCATTATAAATTGGAATTATTTATTATTTAGTCCGAAAAGTACTTAACAAATTAAAAAAAAAAATAGTCAGAATTTCAAATTCTAAAAGAAAAAGTAATGAGAAAGATAAAGAGTGACGCCACAAATTACGAGAGAAAATTCACTTATAAATATTGTTTATATTATAAATATATTTGTTTATATGCAGTTATTGTACCTCTAATCTCTTTGATCTTATCTTATTCAACTAGGTGCCGTTTTTACACTTTGCCGTGGTGTGGTTGGGAGTCACAAACAGCTTTTGGAAAGCGGTTGTGCTGAGCACACTAAGCCCCCAGTTCCGGTTGGCCGTGCGAGTGCTCTGTCTCACCATATGCTGTCGGCATAGGCGACTTCCGCCGGAACTTCTCGGCCTCGACGACGATGACTAACGTCACATCGACTACGTCTGCAAGCAGGGACGCTTATTTTGCGTTCTGTTCTATCCGCGACGCGTTCTTAAGAAGTCGTTTTCACATTTATTCAAGGATCGTCCTCGCATCTTGGCACCACTCGCAAGAGACAGCTCCTTAAAATTTCGCGCTCTGATACAGGAATAAATAAAGATGCAGTTCATAAATATATTGGTATTGATTCTTAATTTACATAAAATGAAAGATTTAAATAGAAATAAAAAGTGTATATTTAGTGATAAATTAACAATTATGTGGGATATTGACAGAGACTTTGAAATATGGAAGCAAATTTGTAAACATATTAAATTTTTTGAACTTTTAAGTGGAAAATAAAGCATAGAGTTCTAATTTTTTAGTTTAATTATGTAAAGATTTTAATATTTTTTCAAAAAAACAAATCTCTGTATTATAATGTTATCTGCATTTTGGTTATATTCACTTCTATAATTGTATAGTATTGTAACGTGAATTTATGTAATATATTATATATTTTTCCCTAAAAAAAAGACTTTTGGTATAAAAGAACGTAAAATTTTATCCGTTTATAAAAGATTTACAAAACGCTAAGAAAGGTTTAAGATACAAAAAACAAGTTTCCCAAATTTTGAAAAAAAATAGAAAGAAAATTGAATAGTTTTATTGTACTATTTTGCTCATTGCAATATAAATGGAAACAGTATCATAAAAATAGTTAAACGTTCTCTACTAAAGCTATTATATTAAATTAAGTCTCGTATTTCAGATAACATAGATAGTTTAAATATTATTTAGATTAAACTTTTTAAATAATCAAAATTACAATCAATAATTAACTTGCCCAATTTTTGAAATAAAAATCAATATTACAATGGTTCATTTATATGAAAAAAAAAAAAAAATGCAAATTAGTGAAAAAATGCGAGTGGTGCAACGAGCTATGCGAAATATTTTGCCGGCGGAATTCGGCGACTCCGCCGACGCGCGTCCATTTCTCTAAAATAATCTCGCTTCGCTCAAACACGCTAAAGTCCGTTAATTAGAGTCCTGTTAATGGGGATGTCTTTCTGTGCCGTATACGAAGATGAAACGGAGAATCGTTCTACGGTATTTGAAACTAATCGTCGCCTAGTTTACATCATAAGATCACGCTCAATAAATGTCGTAGTAAATTATGCGAAAATCGTGAATTACTAATGACTATCGCGCAAGCAAGTTACAGATCCAATCATAAATTGATCTATTGAACTAAATGACGCCGGAATATATGCGGGGAGAGAAATTTAGTCAATTAACGGAGATGCCTCTATGAATGTGACGCGTCGTCGGCGACGAGTTTTGCGTCGTCGAAGTGTCGTCGTGCCCGTAGAGAACGCCCTCGATAAAAAATAATCGAGTGCCGAGCGTGCAAACGTTACGCTTTTTTAATGCGCTTCCTAGCCGCCGGCTTTCTGTGCTCTTTCTCTTTCTCGTCGGAAAGCTTCAAAATAAATAATGAAATCAAGAAATCTGCGCGTCTTCAATGCTAATTAATTCGCTTATCCTTTTTCTTATTATAAGTATATTTGAATACTAACAAGATATAATCATAAATTATAGTAAAATTATAGTAAAATTATTAAAATGGCATAATTTATATGTGACTACTTGACTTATAAATATTTAAAAATATTAGACAGCACATTCGTAATAAAAGGGATAAGTCGGCAATAGTGAATTTATCAACTTATATGAACGAGTTGACGAATTGCGTGCAAGATTCCAATGTAGTTCAATAACTTCTATGACTAATATGAATCCTAAATAATTTTTTTTACACTTATCGAGATTCGCTTTCGTAATGTATTAGTGAAAATCGATTGTTAAATTATTCAAATGACAGGCTTTTCGACAAGAAAGAAAGGATGCTTCTCTTCAAAATCTAGTTAGACTCTCGTTGGCTTTCTTGACGAACTGCATTAACAAAATACCCTCCCCATGAAAATCAAAATATCGTCGTTTAATCTAATTCTTAATTTAGAGATCACGCGCTAGTTTTACGGGCATTCTAACTCGGCGCCCGCTGTAAGCTTTATTATTAATCTTGTACTAAACGATATATACGAAATCAGCTAATAGCAACTTTTTTGCATGAGAACGTAAACTATTGCGTCCACTTTTCGCACATCTACGTGAACCATGACAACTCGAGGCGCAATTTCAAATGTGTTTTGGACAGCTTATGTACAATACAAACCAAAATTGAAAATGGGATCGATATTGTAGAGAAAGGCCGATAAAAAGAAAACATATGTTGATATAGAAAAACTCGGTCTCACAAAATTTTATGAAAAAGGGAAAACTTTCGATTGTTTAAATTTAAATATTTATAGCATAATCAGCGAGTGCAAATGCAAGCACAGATTATTGGTTTAGTTTGTAAACACTAGTTTATAAACAAAAAAATCATAATTATCGCAGTTAATTAAATCAAGACATATAAAAATATGCAAACATTTATTTAAAATTATTGATTTTGTTTATATATACGTCTCTGACAAAATCAGAAAAAGAAAATTATTAAATGTTTATTTAAAAAATTTATTTTATTTTATTACTTTATTATTTATTACTTTATATATTACTCATTAACTAAGCGATAAAATTGGACATAGCAATTAAAAAATAAAAGCATGAGAAATTTTTTCTGATATTAAGTGAAAAACTTATTTGTGTTTTACAAGAAATTATGGGTTTCACACAAGAAGAATTGCGAACGTGAACAGATTTGGCGTCTACTACGAATAGCACAGTACGCTAGAATTAGGCGTAGCTGAACTGCCACGTAACGTCGCTAAAATGAAAAGCGAATAATGAAATTTGCCAAAGTTTCTTCGCTGTGCTCCTGAATAGAATGTATTCGCGTGGATGTATGGGCGTGCCCCAATGTTTTTGACAATTCTGTAAATGAATCTATATGCAAATCGGTGTCTAGGAAAGTCTCAGCTTCTATTTTTTACTGTAGACTCTAATACCTTTCATTCAAGTATAACTTTTCTCTAAGAAATTAATCCGATAGAAGTATTTAATTGCTGTTTAATTCGTGATATTATAAAACGTTGAAAGAGCACAAAAGTGTTTTTCTATGAATGATGAAAAATAGTCCGAAATATCTGCTCGTTATTTTAAATACGAAGGACTAAAACTGTTCAAAAACAATTTAAATATGAAGCAATTATTTTTTGTTATAAAATGATTTCTTTTTATACTTACAATTCGCGTTTATACATATACAGTTTTAAGTAAAAAACAAATAAATAAAAAATAAAGACAATTTATTTCTCAAACAAATTGTAAACAAAAAGATTCAAGTTTTATTTTAACAAAAATATTAATAAATTATTTATTTTAATATTTTTCTTAATTTATTTAATCTTCATATAAAGTTTTTTTAAAATGTTGTAACGGAATACATTTAATAATTAATGTAGATGTTTTTAATATTTTGGATAATTTTACCAAAATAAAAAATAATTTAATTACTAATTTATTTAATATAACAAGAAGATATAAAGGACGTTTTATGATCATGATGTCTTAATGGAATTATTGTCAACGGAATCAAACAAAACTATCAACTATTTTCTAGTTCAAATGTTAGCTATATAAATCGGCTAAAAACTGGCTAAAAAGTAACGCAGATTCGAGTAATTTAAGGAAAATTTCGGGGAATATTTAAAAATTTCAACATGTAAATAAGAATATAAGATATGTCAAGATGTCGTATGTTTTCATATATTATTGAAAATTGTTATATAAGTTATTGCCAGTACAATGAGTAACAGCGATGTAATCATATAATGGAATACTTCAGCTCAATCCCATGAAGACTTAATATTACACAACCGCATTACTTATTGTGCTGCTAATAATACAAATAAATATGATAAAAGCAAACATAATTTGTGTTATTAAAGCATATGTTTCCGGTCCCAAAAATATTTCCCCAGAAAGATTCCATGTTTTCGAACTGCGACAATTTTTGGCCGAACTCGGCTATGATGCGCTAATAGATTTTATTGCGCATATCTCTTTGTACGTATAGAATTGCTCGTTCGGTTCTTTCGTCCAGATCCGAATATCTAAGCTTTATTCCTGTACTTTAACATCGCCGCTGCGCAGTGGTTCGAGATAATAATATAGTATTGAAAGATCTTTCTGTCTTGGATAAAATATATTTCACTCTCTCTTTACTCTTATTCAAATATCTATGATTAACTATTTAACTCTGACATCGCAATGAATACTTTTACGATTATTTAGATTCCAAAACATTCTCTCAAATATTTAAAACATTTTTTTAATTTTAAAATATGGTTCTCTCAATATTAATTAAATATTTATTAAATATTTTTATTAAATATTTTATTGTTCAATGTTATGGATAAAAATGTCATTAAGATACTGTTTGCAATTAATAACTCATTTTAAAAAAAACATTGATATCAACAAATATAAAACTTTTTATAAATAATTTAATGAACAAGATATTTATTTCAAAAAAGCAATTCGTAGATTGTACATTTATTAATAATATAAAAAGTGACTTTTAAGTAACAATTTTTATTTAAAATAAAGCCAATTAATATAATTCCATATTGTGATCTCAGAATTAAATATTTAATTATAAATCAATGATTAAATAAAATTTATTATAGTTTCTTTTTCTTCATGCTTGACTATTTCATAACATCAAATTGTGCCACACAATTAAATTGTGCAAAACATCTCGCACCACTATGCACGCGTGGATTCGCCAAAATTGAGCAGTATTAAATTTCTCAGCAATTACGACATTCTAAACATGTGAAAGTCGCTCAAAAGAAAAGTGAAGAATGGTTGCGCGTGAGAAAGTAAGATTGTAGAATTAAAAGAGAACAAGAATCGGTCGTTCAAATAGATTTGATTGTTACGACCGATAGAAATGAATTTGTCGGTGATAAATAGAAAAATGAATAAGTAATGAGGAAGACACGAGAAAAATGCGAAAGAAAATAATGAGCGAACAGAATTGGTCCCTGGCAGTTTCCCGGGCGGCCTCCATTATTAATGATTAATTACATTTTTGTACCTAGCTGCTAGTTTTTTGTACTAGTTTTGTAATGTACCTCACCACAAGCGCGCTGTTATTACATATTTTAACTGATTGTTCGCAGATGGATCGCTTTGATAGGTCGCATGAATACGTTTGCGATCATCTTGGCATCAAAATCGACGATTTTTGCGCAGAATCGAGTTATATGCTCGGTGTGGTAACCATAAAAGTCGTATACAATAATATTTACGTTTGATAATCCTCTGCAAATCTATATAAAAAATTTGTAAACATAATATAAAAATAGATTGTTGCGT